TTTAACACTTCACATGGTTGCAGTTAAAAGTTTCCAATGTGAAGCTCCTCTAAATTGTTAAGCGAAGCAAAATAAATGGAATAAGTTAAATATGCATCAGAGCAAAATGTAGAGGTACACTTAACAGAAATGCGTCGAGAAACGTTTACAAATCTGCTGTGACTCTCCTCTTGACCTCGTCTTTACGTGTTTGGCTCACATATTACTTGCGTGCAAAGAATGAGCCCAATTTTTTTTAAACATAGTGACATTGTAAAGTTGAATGTTATAGTCCCAAAGATTTGCTTTTTGCTTGACCTGCTCAGGTAAGGCTACCTATCTCTCGACAAGCAACAAGAATATCACGTAATGAGCAACATATTGCCAATTATTCATAGACGTGGACGCGTACGGTGGCCCATAAGGGACATAACTTCAAATTAAAAAAAATATCAAAATTATGGTACATAAGGCATTTTATTTGAAACAAACTACTGTAAATAAAATATTTTATTGCATACGAATTACTTTGCACTAAGAAGAAAAGAAAAACCTCGCACACTACATACAAAAAAAAATGTTTTTGACTGCAAAAAAAAAAAAAATCATACGCACTCCAAAGAAAAGAAATGTGTACATTGTAGATAAAACAAATTCCTTCGCTGCAAACTGAAAATTTGTGCACTTCAAGCAAAATTCACATACTGCAATTAAAACAAATTTTCTGCACACTGCAAATAAAACAAATTTTCTGCAAATAAAACAAATTTTCTGCACACTGCAAATAAAACAAATTTTCTGCACGCTGCAAACAAAAAAAATTTTCTCCATACTGCAAACATAACTTCTGCACGCTGCAAACAAAACTTCTGCACGCTGCAAACAAAACTTCTGCAAGCTGCAAACAAAATAAAAGGTCTTGCGCGCGCAGGTAAACGTGAAGGACTGAAACCTAGTCTGGTTTTCGCGTGGTTTGCTGCCAATATGGCGTCGTTACTCAGGAAAGAAAGAAATTCAAGCAGCGGTTCGAGAAGAACTTTAGTTCAACAGGAACAACAGCAAGCTCTAGTTCGACGAATC